AAGTCCTAGCTGTAGAGACCTTATCAATGAAAAACTGAAGGAATCTGTTGCACATCTCGGGTGAAGAATCTGAGCAAGTAGGCAGAGGGGGTTTGAGTACAGAATCTATCGTTTTTAAATAGTGCGCGTGGGTTGTGACGGTTAGCTTGAATAAGGTCCGACAGATATTCTCTTTTGGCCTCTTTTACTGTGAGCTGGTAGTTATGCCAGCAGTCTTTCCAAATCTGATAAGAGACCTGCAATTTTTCTTTTTTCCACTTGCGTTCGGCTTTGCGACACCCCTGCCTAGCTGCGCGAGTTTTGTCGTTAAACCAAGGCTCGGGTTTAGGTTTTGGGAGCACAGTTTTTGAAGGAGCCACCAAATCCAGGATGGCACGGCATGATGAGTTGAACCAAGAGGTGAGTTCCTCTGTGTTAGACGAGGGTACGCAAAGGTTATTAAAGGCATCAGAGAACTGACCAGCAGTGCGAGGGTTAAAAATTCGGAGGTTGCCTTATCAAAATTATAAAAAAACAAACAAACAAACAAAAAAAAACAATTGTGTTGCAATAATGCCATGCTCTTTAAATTTGTAATTAAACTCGCCTATAGCAAGTAACAGGTGCTGGAAATTTAGAAATCACACTCGCCGCCTGTTAAAATGGGGAAAAGGTGACAACCTTTGTGTCGTGTCTCGGGATGTCGCGATCAAGTTTTTTGCATCCGAGTCCGAGTCACCTGATTGTGAGCATCTGCCGAGACAGAGTCCTGCTCCGATACCTTGGCAATGTATGTAGGAGAAGGAAAGAGCAAGTTGAAATTCTTTTTTGTTTTTAATCGACTAAACAAACAATAAATAAACAACAAAGTTGTGTTAAACGCAGATCGCCCCTTTTAGCCATGCGAAACGGAATTGTTGTATCTACGCCCCGGCCACACATACACACACACACACACACACACACACACACACACACCGTGAACAGGTAGGTAACACTAAAGTAGAGCTTTTTGTTCAAGCACATCACTCTACCTGTGCATTTGCCTTTTTTTCTCTTCTGCTTTTCTCTTGCTCCAATGCAAACAAAAGCAATAAACATGTGAACACCAATTAATCTGTCATTGCTACAATTTTCTGGAAGAAGTGGTGCATTACCGGACAGAAGCATAGGGAGGGGTGGGGAGAGGGCAAGGTTTTTGGCTGTGACTGTCTTCAAACTGTCTAGAGGGGTGTTCACACAGCACACATTAAACCACCTCCCGAGCAAGGTTAAATTTGCTCCGGTTTAAGCTGTTTTCAGGGGCTACACCGGTATAACTTACTGTACGTGTGAACGCTCTACGAGGGGGCAGCCCCGGTGCTACACCGGAGTAAAAGTTGCCTGTTCATTTTCCAGAAAACTACAAACTTAATTTCTATACTCTCCACAAGGTGGCTAAATGCACCTAATTTACCTCTCATCATTGCCTCCACATAGGCATAGATGGGTGGGCCCGACTTATTCTCTCTTTCCCCCGCAAACAAGCAGCTGAGATTTCAGGTTGGTAGTGTGCATGCCTCTCTTGCACTTAATTCCATGAAACGTAAGTTTCGCAACATTAAACAAAACCCTAAGTTTGCCTTTCATTGATAAGGGTTGTGTTTCTATATTAGGCTAATATCAAGTCCCGCTGCGGACCAACTGTAAATCATTAATCGTGAGTTGCTGATGATGTCCCACTTTGTAGAACCACTGGCACACATTGGTGCAAATCATTGTTGAAAATAAAACCCTTTTCTGTGTCGTGTTGTGTCTCTCCGGTTAGAAATTTGATATAAAGTATCTGCAAAATTATCATTCATTCTCCAGGATTATTCACTTCACTATCTGTTACTTTGTAATACCATCTCCTCGGTTGTGCTTCAGATGGAGGAAAAAACAAAAAACAAACAGGAAATAAAAGCTCACCCATCTCAAATTAATATTTTGATGTCAATTCCAAATATTTTCAGTCTATTTTAAGCAACATTTAAAAGAGACTAATACTTGAATTTTAAATCTTAAGTCCATTGTGTGTCATGCCACAGTATACGGGTGAAGATATGCAAACAGACCTTCAACACCCAGCTGTCAGTGACAATAACTCTGGCTCCAGGTGCCCCTGTAGCAAACTTGTCTATGCGTCTGAACTCTGTGTTGATGCTGCTGGCCACTGAGCCCCAGTTTGAATAAGGAGGATGTACATGGGCCTGCAGAGCTCTGCTGATGGGATGGTTGCACCAGCCTTGGCGGGACCAGTAGAAGATGAGTATGCAGCTGGCAAACAGCACGCACACAGAGAGGACAACAAACACCCTCCAGTTGTCACTCATCTAGTGGAAGAGAACATCACAACACAGTTGATGCATGGAGCTCTTCACAAACACTTTGTACTAATCAAAAAAAAGATGTGTCGTAAAGAAGTGTATACAGTACGCTCAGTTCATAAACATTAGCACAACATACCAAGTTTGAAATGCTGGTCAGTTTCCAGAGTACCACGGAGATGCGATTGCGCAAATCATCAAGGCAACCAAGATCGCTCGGGGGAGGATACGAAAAACTTAAGCTACAATCTGCTAGTATTTGGTGATAGCCAATATTTTGTCCAAGTGGAGCACGATGTAACAAATCACATGAGTGAGGTGAGCAGAATGGACATACATGGGGTGTCTTTACCTCCGCTGAAAATGAGTCTGACTGACCGAAACTCTAGAGTTCGATGGAACACAGTTTTAGAACCACGTTGTCCTTTAGGTATGAATGTGACTGTTTGTCTGTACAGATATGTGCTCTGTGATTGTTTGTTCAGAAAACAGGCTACCTGGTGAACGTATTTCAGATGTTTTTCTGGAGCAGCGATACACATCCCCATGTAGTAACCTGCGCAGATGGACAACAGCAGTCTGGTCTTAATACACTGAAAACATTCCTTTTTCATGCACTCCCCCAACTGTGTGTCAGTCCGTCACAATACATAACACAAGTATCAATGTGATCTCTCTCTCATATATATATATATATATATATATATATATATATATATGTGTGTGTGTGTGTGTGTGT